CAACTGTCGATTTGATTTAATTATAGTTAGTTTAAAGGTACGCCAGTCTTTCAACTCGTTTCACAAATTTACGCCCAGAACAATAAACCTATGGTGAACATGAAATATTTGTGTAACATAAGCAAATGGTTCCATTGAAAGTAACTATATCATTGGTGTCTTATTAAAGAAAAGTTACTTTATTTAGATGATGGAGGATTTAACGTCGTTTCAACGGTCGGTCAAGGACCATTGACCGTTGACCACTTGTATATTAGGGCATTTAATTGATGAAAAAAATCATAATCGATGATTTGATCGGTCTCTCACTCTCTCACACACATGATCGATTAAAAATCGAATTACTTAATTGATCACGTGTGATCGATTTCTTAATCGAATGCATTGTTCGATCAAACAATAAAAGTGAATTTCGATTTTAAATTGATCGATTTTTATTATTAATATAAGCATCAAATTTACAATAAGCTAGTTTTTATTACAAATTTCGTAATTAAATAAAATTCCTATAGTTTATAAATACAAAAGTATTATAATATTTACTTTTTCATTTTAATAATTGATTAACCGTCTTTGGCTTTAAACTGTTCGATTTTGATTCACATCATCATTAAAAAACCGTTCAGACGTGGCTAGAATATAATGTTTCAGGCGAAACTATTTTTCAACATCCGAAATGTTTCACCCAGAGAATTTTTCTATGATCCGAAACTATCCGAAACACTACTAGAATACCAAATATTTTCTAGTATTTTTAAATAAGTTGGAAGCTTCTGTTTATTATCATTCCACCGTTGGAATGGATCCATCGCAGGTAAAGCTTGAGGGTTTCTAAGCTTATCCAAATAGCACTGAGGTTCGTCTTGCTGTTTATGTAAAATATCAAGAATTTTTTTTATACAAAATATAACGATACTATACATAATCGATCATAGTAATTGTTGATCGATTAACCATTGGAAATTTAATTGATTATAATCAATTAAAGTTAGTCCAATTTTTTTGATCGAATCCAATAAACTGTGATCGAAAAATTGATTGACTCAATCAATCATCGATCCTAGATTCAATTAAGGGCCCTACCTAATTAATATATCACTTTATATGAACGAACCAGCCGGTCGATAGTTTTACAGTCAACTAAAAATTTCATTAACTAAGTTATATGATCGATTTATAGCGGCAATACAATTATCTTTTTTGATGTAATAATTTATATAATTTTAAAGGAATCTAGTTCAAATATCACAATATTCGGATTAATTCGAATATACTTTTGTATGTACGAAAATTTGATAAATAATAGTATTATTAAATAAAATACGTGATTTTATTTATATTATTTCTTTCTAAACGGAATTAAAGAAATTAGAGAAACAAAGGTATTTAATTTCGGAATTATCTATTTCAAAATGTATAGGATAATTAGATATCAGTCATTTATTAAGATTTTTTTTAAATTGAAATAAAGTTTTCGGTTGCGTAGATTCAATAATTCGGTAATTGAATTTGAGTTCTTGACACAAATTTTATTTCGTATTTGTGTTATGAATTCTATCGAATAAGTCACCGTAAATATTTTGAATTTCCATCATTACTACTTCGATTGCTAAGGGTTCTTCTGACACTTGTTTAATTTTCTTTTATATGTATCAAAGATTCTTTCTTTCTATTGCATTGTATGTGACACAAGTGTAGTGATTCCCCAAGCTTAGAATTTAATTACAAACCCAAAAGTCAATAAATATTAACTGTGCTCCCCTTAGGCCATTATGCCCTATTCAATTGAAGATACATGTGATATTAATGATTAATGAAAATTCTTTATTGCTGAAAATATAAAAAAAAATAAAGCACAACTCATTGTTCTAACCTCCAATACTGGTAATTTATTCTTTTTCACCAATTGATGGTTTATAAGATTTTCAACATTTCTCTTTTGAATTTCAAGAATCCTGACCGTTTGTTATCACGGACGAAATAGTGCAAATGAGTGGATCTCTTTAAAGATTGTCAGGTATTTTTATTTCAGAGATAGAGCTATCAAAAGGGTTCGTTTCTTTAAAATATAAGATACGGAATTATTTAGGTTGAGTTGGAAAAATAAGTTTGTTATGTGAAACTGAGCGAATTAACCGATACATTTTTAGAATTAGAATAAGGTGCAAGTGTGAATTTATAGCAGTTTTTATTCCTTATTGAAAATAACAACGATCAATGAATAACAATTAATTCACAATATTTTGTTTCGATAATAAGGGAATATAATATCACGTTTATACTTCATTATATCAAATAATCAAACTAAATATCAACACAAATTATCACTTCTCGTCTCACAATGCAATTGCAACAAAGAAACTTTTTATTTAAAGAATTTATTTATTTGAAGAGGAATATTTATTTAGGAAGGTGGCGCAGCAAATCTCATCAACCAATGGCTATTAAAATTTCACTTGATTAAGGGCAACTCCCTGAAAACCGGTCTTGAGATGATTTGAAAATTTTTTACAATTGTTGTTTCGTTAAAAGCGTTAAAAAGGGTTGAATATCTTTCTCTGTAAGCCCATCTTGCGTAAAAATCTAAACCTTGAACATTAATTACTCAAGCATTAGATGCATATCTATTAGGTTTTTCAACCAATAACATGCTTCTTCCAAAATTATAATAATCATAATTTTCGATTATTTTCTTCAGAAGCATTAATTTATCATATAATTAGAATTATGTTAGGAAATAGCATTAGTATGGAAAATTATTGAGTAAAATGAAGTAATGTTGACGCTAAATTTAGTTAATAATATCAAAATTAATCAGTGTTGTCTCAACGTCGGCGCTCTACACTTTCGCAATGTCCAATGGTTTAAACTAAATAATGCAAATCAATAAAATCTAATTAATTAAAACTGCGCAATTACTAAAAAAAAAATAAAAATAATGAACGAAAATTACAAAAATAAAATTATAATATTAAAACGGCGAAAGCGAAAATATTGCGAAGGGATAAAAGGAATGTATTTAAGGTATATTGAATTATTAGGACATCCTGGCATCGAAAACAATCTAAATGCGAAATTATGGTGTTTTCGGGCGGAATATATTTAATGTAACAACTTATGATCCCACCGATGAATTTTGATGGAAGAATCTGGGAAAATTCTCTTTCGGGCACGCTTACCAAACATACTATCTTCGTTAATATGATCCTTAATATACTTAGCATCACCTCATGCATTACAATCTATAGGTATAATTCCTTCAAAATAGTACGCCTAATTTTAATGAAAATCATATTGTAAACGCATAAAACTTGTTTAGGTCGAAATATCTATAAATACAGTTTCCAGAGAATCTAAGCAAATTTCATATATCGCGTCACGGGGAGCTGGTATTGATTTACCGTATTCATGTGATTATTTAGTGGTGGATAAAGTTATGTTTCGGTTCGGTCTGAAGGTAAAATCGAACTGTATTAATGATTTGAGTCTAAAGCTGCCAAGGTTACACAAGAATTTTTTATAGACCATTATGATTCATAACACCTTGTTGTAATACATTATATTCGCTTTGGAAAAAAAAGAATGTTAATTGTATTATGCACAATATTTCGGAATTATGTTTTGAAAATTTTATTAAAAAGATTTTTGAAAGGATCTATTATGATCTATTTTTTATTACGAATTTTTTTTTTTTTTTTTGCGGTTGACTACATAGTTCTGTGCGACATGGATTTAATTGATCCTACGTATTCCCTTTGTTTCTGAATACCTTTACTTCACTGTTCAACTAATTCCTCAACGCAATATTTAATGAACCAACCTTAACCTTTTCACTCCCGTTGATATGGAAGTAAAAAGGTAATAATTAATACTCATATTTAAATTTTTATAACATCATTTTGTATTGCCTATATTTGTATATAATTTTTTAGACTATAAAATAAAAAATTCGGCTATTGTCAAAAAATCAAATCACTTTTTAAGACTAAGAATTTTACATTTATAGTTAAACTGCTTACAAAAATTCAATAAATTGAAATTAATTATAATGAACATATTGAAACACAAAGTATGACATACTCGTTGAATAAATAATGTCAAACTCAACGATAGAAACTTATAAGTCAAATTTTATTATATAATAATATTTGTTTATATCTTGGTTTCAAAATCTTTTTAAATAAATGATTATTATAAAAAGATCATTTTGACAAAAAAATTAGTGATATAATATTACATACAATGACACCTCCATAAGTGCACTCCCTTGGGACCATAATAAAAAAAAATAGCAGAATGTGCAATTGGAGAGGGTGTGCATTTATAGAGAATAAAATATTAAGAGCTCTTATGAGTTGGGACCAAAGCCTACTGTGCATTTAGAGAGAATTTACATAGAATGTGCATTTATAGAGGGTGCACTTATGGAGGTTTTCACTGTATTATTATTATTGTCTCAAAATGTTAAAAATGCACTAGAAAAAAAATAATATATGTGTTTAATTTATCATTTCTTGAAAACTAGATTTTGAATTCTTTTTCTACTGCTTTAAATTGATCATCTTTTATGACGACTTTATGCTCGTCGTTAACGTCATTGATTTTACCTACAGAGGGCTCGGGAATTGGTACATCAGAACCTTTATTTATCTTCCCTTTTAATTCAGGTTCTTCTTTATTACGAAGTCAGTTAATTGCTTGATACAATCTTCCAATGATATTTATTGTCAAAGTTAAACTTGATGAAATAAGCGTAAAAAGTGGAATAATATCGTAATTTATGGTATTTCGCTGGTAGAAAACCTATATATATATATATATATATTTGTTAAAAAATCATTAATTATCTTCGAACATGTAAAATATAATGAATATTCTCTTACCTGAATGAATAATTGAGGAATATCTTCAAGGCAAACGCTTAAACAAGCACCCTAAAAGATTTTTGCGTTTGCTTCATTAGATAATGGAGCTTGGAAAAATGAGAATCCAGCAATATTTGATTAAAGAATTGTCAAAACCTCAATATCTGCACCAGCTAATAAAGTGAATGTAGATGCAACCTTTCCATTTTGTGAAAACCATTCTAAGAACTCTTGATTTGTATTTTCATTTGTTATAATTTAAAAGGCTAAAACAGCATTTAATCCGATAGGAACTATTAAAAAGATAATACTTGGAATATAAAGCCAGTCAACAACTCGAGCGTTTGTGATGACAAAAAGAATATCCATGAGCAAATCAAAAATTATAAGACCAAGTTGTAAGATAGCCATATTTTGTCCCTTTTTTTCTTTTCGTCGCGCCAACAAGAAAAGTATAATTAAAGTTCCTAAAGCAATAAACACCATGAAGCCCTTCGTTTTATATTTATTCCATAGGTTTTCTAGAATTATTTTAATTTTTTTTTTTATAAATTCTTCTGAGAGAATAACTTTTTAAAAATTTTTATGAACTTACGCGTTGTTGGTAACCCATAATTAGCATCTAAAAATTGAGTTGTTCTGCCCAATGAAATTGGTGATACTTCTTTATTTAAGAACATTGTATTTAAATCTTTAATAATTGATTCAACGCTCGTTTCAGTTTATCTTTTGTTTGAATAATGTTCAATGATATTAAATATTGGTTTTCCGGCGAAATGGTGAAATCTACTTGGAATCGACCGTTAGATTTTAGTCGCGAAGGAGGTATTATCCATTAAACTGTAAGTATAAAATTGTTTCTAAAACATTTTAGAAAACTTAAAATATTTAATATCTAATAATTATAAAAAAATAAAATTTTAGATATATCATATTATAATATATCTAAAGGTAGTATTTTTAAACTTTTAAAATTAATAGTTATCAATATATATTAATTTTTTAATTTTTAAAAATAATTTATTATCTAATAATTACAAAAATATAAAATTTAGTTTATTGGATTTATCACATTAAGACCTATTTAAATGATAGTATTTTTATATCTCTAAGATTAATAGATAGCAAGATATATAAGTTTAATTTTTGATTTTTTTTATAATAATTTATTTTTTATTTATCTTTAAAAATTCACTAGATAATTACATTTTTTTTTTGAATTTTACTTAGAAAATATTATAAAATTTATTATAAAAGTATTACTTTTTTAATAATATATTTAAAATAATTAAAAATGATTGTAATTAATAAATAAAAATTTGCCTGCAAATTTGTAGGCAAAACAATTGAAATAATAATTTTGTATATTTTTAATCCTTATATTTTGAAGATTATTTTATATTAGAAAATTTTTTTTAATTAAAAATATCAATTTTACATAAATTATTAATTTATACTAAAATCTGTATTTAGTAACATTTTGTAAATAGAAAAAATTTTTAAATAACACAGGTAGTATAATGCTCTTTATATATATTTTAGTCTTATTTAAATTATATAAATATACTAAGTTTTATAAGCATTAGGCTAGTAATTACTGAGTTATTTAAATTTGAATAAATTATGCTACTTAAAATTTTTTTTACTAACAAAATTTTACTACCGTATTCTTCTATAAATAAGCAACACTTTTTTGTTATAGTGTTGCTTATTTTCAGATAGTTTAATAAAATGAAAGAAATTTGATCATATAACTATCAAATCATATGATTTTTGATCAAATTTTATTCATTAACCTGTTTTATTTTATACAATAATAAAATGGAAGAGAGTTGTTAAAACTATTAGATGTAAGGCTAAAATTGTGAAAAGAATACAAAATTCATACTCAGTTAAATATAAAAAAGAATAAACAATAATATTTTGTAATTTCATAATATTTTTTTTAATTGTAATAATAAAATGCGTTTATAATATATTTATAAAGCTAAATTATTTATTTACAAAAAAAAATTTTATTAAAAAAAAAAAAATTTCAACTTTTTCAGAACTTATATAAAATAGGTATTGCTTATTTTGAGGAATTACTTATTTTCAGAAAAATATGATAAGCACAGATTTTTAATATAAATTAATATTTATATAAAATTAATATTCTTATAGTAGTGGTCATAAGTATCTGACCGCCTGAGATCATCTAAAATTATTATATAACTATCCCTTAAATTTTTCAGAAATATAATGTAACACAATACATGATCACCTATAAATTTATAAGTGTCAATGATACAAAAAAAAAATTTAGATAATCATCAAACTTTCACTTGAAAAATGGAACTTTCTTTAGAGAAATGATATGGAATTGTCTTTTTACGTGAGCATCCAGCTGATCTAAAATTTAGTTTTAGATTTATTGCTAAACAGGTATGTTATAATAAGTCTACAGCTATTTATTGGGTTAAAAGATATCATGAAAATCAGGACCTAAGTATTTCAGAAAGACTGGGGTGGCCTTGTATAATATCTGCAAAACAAGATTACAAGATTGTAAAGATGGCAGAGAAAGAACATAATATAACAGCCATTCAAATATAAGAAAAAATGGAAGAAAAAGGTGTTGGGATTAGTGTAGAAACAGTAAGGTAACGTTTTTGTAAGTCTGGAGGAAAGTTTAGTAATGAAATTTCTAAACCTTTGCTTAAAGAAGACCATTAAAAGAAAAGGTTACAATAGGCAAAAAAATATAAGAATTTTGATTGAAATCGAATTGTTTTTACAGATGAGAGTACATTTCAATTATATACATCAAAAAAAGGTTTGGCAGTTTCCTGGTAGAAAAAAAGTATTTCGTTCTGTTAAGCATCCACCAAAAGTTCATGCTTGGGAATGTTTTTCTGCTTCTGGATTTGGTAAGCTATTTTGCTTTCAGAGAAACTTTAATGCTGAATTTATATATACTATTTATGAGCAAGGTCTTCTGGCTTCTACCTCTAAATTTTTTGGTGAAAGTAACATAGATTGGATCTTATAAGAAGATAATAATCCAAAGAATCAATCAAAAATTGTGAAAAAATGAAAGGAAAAAAATGGCATTGAGATACTTTCTTGGCCATTAATGTTTCTAGATCAAAATCCTATAGAAAACGTTTAGAGGTTAATAAAAATTAATATACAATAAAAAATTCAATCAATTAAAAGGTTAAAGGAGGAACTTACAAAAGAATGAAACCGATTATCACCTGTACTTGTCGCAAATTTGGTAGCTAGCATGAAAAGACGTACAGCTACACTGATAGAGTCAGATAGTGACTACACAATGTATTAATTTTAGTTAGTTGGTTATGTATTTTTAAAATAAAAAAAAATTTTGAATTTACTTACTTGTATCTGAAGTTAGAAGCGAACGGATACTTATGATCGTTACTGTAATTAAAAAAATTTTGTAATATAAAATAATCTTCAAAATCCAAGAATTATAAAATATATAAATTTATAACTAACTCTATTATTTATAATTAATTAATTATAAACTTTTAAACCTAAAAAATGATTACTTGTATTTTTTTTGGTAGCTATTATAAATTATTATAATAATAATAAAATAATTTCTTTTTAATTTCATTTTTTTTGTTTAGTTTTATTTATTTTTATTTTTTAATAATTAATAATAATAATCATAATTTTTAATATATTGAATACTTATTATTCTTAAAATCTAAAATATTAATGAGTAGAATTATTAATAATTAATAATATAAATAATAATAAAAGAAAATTTCATCACAAATCTAACTGCTTTACTATGAAAAGCTAAAGAGTATTACACTCACATTTATCTAAAATAGTAGAATCAATCCTAATCAATATTAAAAAAATTATTATATTTTGATTAATAATCAAAAAAAATAAGCAACATAATAAAAAATATTATTCACCTTACTGCATTACTATAACAAACCAAAGTATTAAATTTACTAATCTAACCTATAAATCATAAATCAAAAAATAAATAAAATTATTAATCAATAATTATGAATTAATTAACTATCTAATAAAATAATTTGTAACATTTAGAATACCTATATAAAAAATTTTTAAATTATGTAATATTATACAAATTTATAAAAAAGAAATTTTGTCTTCCAATAAAATTTGAATTTGAATCTCAAAATTAGTTATATAAGTCTCTATTTTAAATATTTGTATAATGTTATGTGATTTAATCCTATTGCAAAACAATAAGCAATAATTAATTTATTATTAATTAAATAAATAATCAATAATAGAAATAGATAATATATAATATTAAAAAAAAATAAAAATAAAAAAAATTTTATTAAATATTTGATTATATTACTATAATAGATCTAAATCTTTTTTTTAAAAAAAAAATATTTAAACAACCTTTATTTCTTGAGATAGATTCTTTTTTACCTGATTTTTTATCCTTTAATATTAGTGTTAATATTAGTATTAATATTAATATTAGTATAAGATAAATAAAATATATAATAATAGCTAATTTTTAGCATTATACAAATCACCTAAAAAGAAGATTTTTTAAGAAAAAGAAAATATTATTCAAAGGACTAGAAATTTGTTTTATATTAATAAAGTTACATGATTTTTTTATTATAATACTGATCCTTCTTTATTATATTATATTAATCTATAATTTATTTATAATTAAGAATTTATTTAAAGTTCAATTTTAGATATTCTAATTTTAAATAGTCTTATATTTGAATTTCAAAATATTTTATATATAAAATTAAATTAGTTATATAAAATTAACCAATATAATTATACAGTAATCAAAATTAAAATTCAGATAACAAAAAAATTTCATCTAAATTTCAATTACAAACAAAAATTAATTTTAGTTATAATATAATTATTATTTGATAAAAATAAATTTTTTTTTTTAAATTTAAATAATATGCTAAGAATTAGGATAATATTTTAAAATTTGTTTATTATATATTTATATTAGAGTTAATTTTTAATGTTAAGAAGGTAATATAATATATTATTTATATATTTAAATACTATCCCTTAAAGCGTAGATATAAATTAGTTATAAAATATTGTAAAAAAAATAATATTTTAATATTTAGTAATTATAAAAAAATAAAATAAAGTTTTTTAGATTTGTCATATTAAGATATATCTAATAATAGTATTTTAAAATTTTTTAAAAATTAATAATTATTAATCTATATTAATTTTTCAATTTTCAATTTTTTAAAATAACTTATTATCTAATAATTAAAAAAATTTAAAAATTTAATAACTCTTTCTAGCGATTACTTAACCAAGAATTTTTACGTAAAAAATGTATATGTTCAAGAATGACTACAACTTAATCTATAAATAAAAATAAAACTTCTCTTTCAAACTTCTTTCTCTCTTTATTTTTCTTAAATCCTCTTATTTCAAAAACAGTTTTTGTTAGTTCAAATGGTGGTATTTTTTTGTTAAAAATATTTTTTTAATCACTTCTCTTAGCTATTTTTTCTATTTTTTCTCCTTTTTCTTTTTGCTCATAAAAGTAAACATCAGAAAGTATCCCAAATAATGATCAGTATCAATAATAACTTTAGATCAACCAATAACATATGATAACTTTTCCATTATTTTTCTAATAAGTACACTTTTTTTAGATTTTTGATATTATAAA